TTATATTCTTTCATTGCAGTAACATGTAAAACTTTTATGTATAAAATATCAACTTTTCATTACAAGTTCGGATGAATAATTTCTTCTAAAATATTATAAATATCTGCAGGATTACAACAATGAGAATAATAAATATTACTTATTCTTCTCGAAAAAAATCATTGTTGTCTTTTGATTAAGACGGTTGTATTATTTGTTGAGCAGCGAACAATAACTGGCAATCAGTGCAGCTATTAAATCGGATACTAACGATATCTATTGCGACTCACAATTTGTCACTGTTACAATAATTTTTTTAGAAAAATTGCTTTAAATATTCGGAATAAGTCTGTTGAACTAGAATTGCTGTGATTAACCGGTAAGATTTATTGAGTTACCGAGTTTTATTTTTGTATACATTAAATTCATATTCATATCAAACTATCTTTACATTATTCTTTCGAGAAATCTATCGTCACTGTCAGCATACGTATGTCTGTCTGACACTGTATTTATAAAAATTCTATTTATTACGAAAATCAAGAAAAATAGGCTTGAAAATACTTTAAACAGGTTTCGAGAAAAAAAATTTCTATTGTCTACCAGATGAATGTATATTAAAACACAAGTTGATGATATTGATGATTTAAAGAACAGAACCGAAAAACAAAATTAAGGATATAAAAGAAGAGACATTAGATAATGTTCTCAGCTGTATTGTTAAAAAATAAAAAGTTTATATTTATATTAATAGTCATATTTTTGAACAGTACCTATGGAAAATTCTAATATCAAATAAAAAAAAAAAAGAAATTGTTCAATTCGAACAAAAAATAAGAAAGACTAAGTAATTTTCTTTTTTGTTAGATGACTTTTCGGATGTTTTCCATTCGTTTTCATTAATTATGATTAATTGCCATGTAGATGTATCAAAAGAGAAAGAACGAGACTTCAGAAGTGCATACTTTGCTCATACTTCACTTGTAATCCATCTTGTGTTTCATTGTAATTCGTTTGACTTCACCTATTCTTCCTTCGTATTTAACGAATTGAAATATATTGATAAAAATATTATATAATTCTTCAAGTATTCGATCGAATCATACACATAAGTATCAACTGATAGAAATAATTGAGTCTAAATACCAACTGATAATATTACTCAGATTAATAATCTCGGACAGTAAATATTATCTCATATATACATATTTAATTATTAACGATCATTTCTAGATTTATTGTGAATACTGTAAAACTGAAAAAAGATAATGTTGATCGTTAGTGAGACAGTTAAAAACAAATTTTGAAATTTATAGAATATAGTCATATGATAAAGCGAATTCAATAATAAATTTAATTTAATAAATATTATAAGTTCATTGTCATCAAGAATAATATCTTATGCAAGATTAACAATTTATAAACTGGAATTTATTTTAACAATAATAATTAATATGTTTGTAAAAGAGTTTTGTTAATTATAATATTTTTTTACTAAATATTGATATGAAAATATTCATTTAATTTATTAAAGATCTTTTCTATAGAATATTATTTTACCTTATAATACGTAACGAGTATTTACATATAAAAAAATAATATTGTTTTCATAAAAAAGAATAATTTATTAAGTCGTCATTTTATTTTTGTGCGTATATAGACACGCCTCAATATGAATAATATGTACTTTTTTCGGCGCATAATTTTTTTAGAGGGTTGTTTGGTATTTCTAAACGAATAATTCGATTATTTTTGATATGCATCAGGGTGTTTCCTCTCTTATTTCTCAATAGAGTCGATTACTAATAAAAATAAAGAAGAGAACAAAACTATGAGTATATAAATATGACTTAACACGCTATAACAAATATACATTCTCATATTTATTATTCAATTTTTTACATAACATATAAACAATAACAATGTTCGGCGAACATCATCATCATCGTGGTAAGAATAATCTTATCATTTATTTAAATTTATTCGTTTGTTTTTTCTAATATACAGAAGGATTTGGTGGAGGTTATGGAGGATATGGAGGATATGGGGGAGGCTACGGAGGTATGGGTGGAGGCTTTGGTGATCCATACGGTGGTATGGGTATGGGTGGCATGGGAGGTATGGGTGGTTTTGGTGGTGGAATGGGTGGTGGTATGGGTATGGGCGGTTATCCTGGTATGGGTGGTGGTTATGGACAATCTTATGGATATGGTTATTATTAAAATGATCTTAGAACATCATTCTTCTCTATTAAAATGCATTTTAAAGAAATATATTTTGTTACAAAAATTGTAAATATATAGTATTTTTTTAAAAATCTCTGACATTTATGACGAATAAATCAATAAATTCATTGAATCTATTTTTCTGGTCAATTTAAGATCAATATTGAAGTGCTGTTAATTATTCAAACTAAAATTTAAAACAGTGATTTTAATTTGAGAAAGAACAACATATTATTTTTCTAGGAAAATAAATAAATGATGACTCAATTTACAATTTCATATTGAAGAAAATAACTTATTATATAGAAAAATATTATCCATTTGTTTAATGAAAACTAAACTTTGAACATAAAATACAATAAAAAGTTGTCATCAATTACAAAATTCTATTTAGGATATAAAACATTATTCAAAATTAGTTGCTCTAAAATTTTTGTTTGGTGAATATTTCTCCAGAGATAAATAATAAATCTTACTTTTTATTTTCTAATATTTGCATTATATTTTATATTGAAGGATTTCTCATATCTTATTCAATTACTAATGACTAAAGATATAAGTCGACGTTTCGGTGAGCAACTGACAATTTTTTCCCAGTCGCAAGGAATTTATTATGATGGTGGCGAGTGCAAGAATAGAAAATGTGATAAAGAGCAAGAGTATGAATAAGTTTTTGATTGCAAACTATGTACTTCTATATTTCACATTCAGAAAAAAAACACGTGCCTTTTTCGTTGTGTAATTTTTCTATCTTTCTTTTTCTAACGCTATAGGTATGATCATGCTTTCATAATACTCGTAAATATATGCACATGTATTATTCTTTTGCGTTCTTATTTTACTGACATAAAAATCAGATAAAAAAATAAGAGGAGTAGTCATGTTTATCATTACTCATCTCAATGCACTTTTAATTTTAGTCCAATAGAAATCGAAATATTAAAATTTATTAAACATGCGATTCTTTTTTATGCTAAAGTTTTTAAAGACTGACAGTTTTTGTATCAATTTTAATACTTTCGATAATCGAACAAAGCATTGATTGCATCAAGTAAAATCAAATCTAATGAATTTTTGTTAGTTAATAATTTTATTTCTTTTTAACTCTAATTTATTCTGATCAAATAATAATAAATAGAATCTTTTACTATTATTATTCTCAATCAGCTGAACTTTGCAATTAACTTTTAAGTCTTTTTATAAATATATTATTACAAAAGAAAAAGTATAGCTTTTATTTATATTATTTCGAAGAATTCTATAACCATTCTTCATATATTTGATCGTAAAATAAATTTCTATTTCCATTTATATAATGTAAATAAAGAAAAGAAGGAATATGTAGATACATATATGTTGATTTTAATAGAATTTAAATCATTAATTCTCTGTAGAAATAGATGTGTGTAAGACCGTCGATGACGGATAAATATAATAATATCATTCACAGTTAGACTTACTCTCAGACAATCATTCATGCTTATATCTACATTCATCCGAAGGCAATTAGATTAAAAACATAATTCACATTTTTTCGAGTTTTAATCTATTTTAAACTAAAAACTCAGAAATTAAAATATAATTCATTTACAGAATATTAGTTGTAAGGGTGATCACACTCGAGATTCATATTCTAAAATACATATCTTTGCTGTAGTATAAATACAAATCGTGTTAAAATATTATTACACATAGTTTCGTACAAATACATGTCATCTATTTATATATACAAAAGTATATAATATTATTCAAGAAAACTGTGATATCTATAGAGTATAGAAAATTATCTAGAACTATTTGACAGCTTCCCCAACTGTGGAAGTGTCGTAATAAATATTGTGATATCATCTGACAGCTTACGTATATGAGGAATAAATTATTATGAAATGTATCGAATTCTCATGTAATTTCGTTGCAGAGATACGAAATCGTTTTAAAGTAATATGCATGTATATGTTGCAGGAGAATTTAAAACTCCCCTAAGGGGAACGTAAAATTTTAATCTCTTCTAGGATAAATTAAAACTCTTTTCTTTCCTGTAATTTTTGTAAAAAAAATTCAAGATTTTAGTTTCTCTTAGAAGAAACTAAAATTTTAATTTCCCCTTAGGGGAATTTTAAATTCTCCTACAACATATATGTATAAATAAGTTGATTTTACCTAGTTGTGGTTTTTTCTTAAGTGAAACGATAAAAGTCAATTATCTATTTTTCAAAAAATTATTCGAATAAAATAAGATACATTGTGATTGTAGACGATTCAAGTGTTCATTTATATTCACTCACACCTTCATAAACGTAATATAATGAAATATTAATTCTATCTATCACAGAAATTTATTTTAAATTCATCTTCACTTTGAAGATAGTTTTTTTAGTTCAGTTAATAAAATATGCGAATATTTTCTAATCATCTTAAGTTAATATAATGTAGATAGATTGAAATTTTTCAAATAATGAATCATCTATTCGTTTGATATATACCATTTTGTTTCTTCAAACAAAATTTTTATCTGATGAGTTCCTATTACTCATCTTCAGTCACCTAAATAAATTTGATCTTTTCTACAGCTTTCATAATCTAACCAAGATATCGATCTAATAAAAAAAATATTCTCTAAGAACACTCTCGATTTCAAACTAGATCGGTGTGGATATTGGTTTCATACACACACATAGCATCAACCATTACTAAAGAAAATGATATCCAACTTCTGTATCGTATGATTGAAAAACAATAAAATAAAAGTTGAAGACAAACATCATCAATTCTTTCTTTTGTCATGATTAATTGATTCTAAAAATAAAGTTTTCCGTTTCTATCTTGTACTTTTGTAAAACAACAGTAACATCGTAGTAATTCTTCAAATTTTGTTTGTAAAAATTGTTCCCAATAGATTTTTGATGGATAAATATATATAAAGAATGTAAATATTTCTGGTATATGTACAAGAAAATTGAGAATAATATTTAAACGCATTCGAAATAAAGTATTCGAACATGTTATTAGTAGATGAAATATAATCACATATGGCATTATACAAATAATAATTAATAGTGGTGGAATAAAAAAATCTTTGTGATTATATATTTGTTGTTTCCATATTGATAACCATTGAGTTGGTGTTGTTCGAATATGATAATTAAGATATATTTTATGTTTTACAATTCGAAATAATACCCAAATAGCACAGAGAAAGTGAATTAAACATGGACCAAGTAAATGTAACATTTCAATGAGATTATCAATTATTTTAGTTGATGATGAGGGAGTAAATACACATAATTCTAAATTATTCACAAGTGGATTTGTAATTATATGACGATAGAATATTCGATGAATGTGTGATAGACTGATAATAATAAATAAAAATATGGAAATAATCAATGAATGTTTTCGAGAACTAAATAATTGTAATATAGAAGATTCTATTAATATACGTTCAATAGCGACACATGTGCTTAACCATAGACTTACAGATACCATTGAAATAATTAGAACAGGTAACAAAACTACATGCAAAAAATTCATACGAAGTCGATGATGTATTATGATCAAAATATAAAATATTAATCAAATCAATTTCAATACCAATCATAGTTATTAAACTTACAATACAATAGAAAATTAAATAAATACCTAATCATGTTATTCGAAGTTTTTTTGATAATATTAAAGTATATAGACATAAGAAATTATTAATAAATGCTAAGAAAACAAAAAATGTAATTACGATTCCATATGCATATTTTGTTTCTTTAATTCTATCTTCTGTTCTGTATATATCTGTTAACATAATTGCTCGAATAGATGTTAATAAATTTAAATTGTTTTCACATAATTCTTCAATACTATAATTTGATATCATAGTAATTACTGTACGATATTTGTCCTGTTATTATGATTCCTTCTTATTTCAAGTATTACCCTTATTTTATACATCATGTGATCTTTTATCCCATATTGTTATCGTGTTCTTTCTTTTTCTCTCTGATGGGCGTGTATATAAATATATGCACTGTATAAAAGCAATGCGATTCTTGATAAGAAGAAATATAATAAAGTGTAATATCATTGACAAAAGTACTTTTTCAATCAGAAATCGTCCCAATAACGTAGTCTACATGGTACTCACTAAAAAAAAAGAAATACGCCTGACATCGTATGGCGCAGAAAAAAGAGGAAGTGAAGTTATACGTATATTCATTGAATTGTTCGTAATATAAGATGATGTCGTATGAGTCATGTTATTTACGCACTTTACCTGTAAACTGATTATTTTCTTTGGTATGTAATTTTAATAATTTATTCATAATCATCAATATGAAAATATAAATATGTATTTTTTTCTTCGTTTTATTCTCTTTACTGTTACACTGAGAAGTGCTTACAGTTGTTAATATAACCATGCACAGCTATTTGATGACAAAATCGCTCTAAGTAGTAATGCACACAAAGAGAAGGCAAAAATAGATGCCTAAGTTACTACATTTTGTAAATTAAATATAATGTGAAAAACGAAGAATGGTGAGATGTTGATATATCACTCACACTTACATCCACCCTTCGAGATAATTGGATATAATAATTCATGTATATTCTACATAGTTACCGTCAAATAATATTCAAGAACGTGTGGACTCGAAGAAGAACGATTGAATAAACTAGTTATGAAACTAGACGAAAATACAAGATAAAAGAAAAATGCACGAAGCACATCTATTTATAACACTTCGATTACATTACTCATGGATGCATATATCACTTTTCATTTCTATTAACGCAAATTAAGCGAAAAATTATACAGAAGAAACCATATATGACGCCTTTTTCGTTTCCAAAACGTAAGGAACGTTGTCAGGAATTGGTGTACAAAATGAAATGGTGAACTATATATGATTTACCTCCGTTATGCGAACAAAAAAATCAGCAAAGATCTGATTACAAATGTCAAAAAGAAAGCAAAAAAGACATACTTTTTCATACTTTTTCGTACTTCTCCGTATTTCTACAGTGATAAATTTATTTTTATCATTTTTAATTTATATAAATGGTGATACTATAACATCATTTTCTATTAGATATGCTAAAATTACACTTGACACATAGAAATAATATAAAATTATACAAAACAAAACCGAAAATAAAAATAACGTCAATAGAAATAAATTATAAATGACTACGAGTAAAAATGTATTGCACTTCTTTAACAATGTAGTTTAATTTTTCTTCTTTAGATCATATGAATTAGATAAGTGGGTACGGGGTGTAGATCCATCTTTTCTTTACATAGATTAACATTCATCCACTTCATTCTAATAGGTAACAATAACTTGCCAAATATAAAACTTCATTCGAGCAAATATATGATGTTTCTGACAATACATTTATTTCTTCATTTTTTTTATAATTTACATTTGGCTAATAACTCTCTGAAATCAAAACGAGTATCTAAAGATTACAGTATTTATAAGGTTAAGAATTTTACGGAGAAATTTTGAGAAAAATTATAATTCAAACTACAATAGTACAATTAACGAAATTATAAAAAAATTCAAGGAAAGATCAAGTTTAAGTAATATTTGCCTTAAAAGTCGATAAAAAAAAGTTTTAACATTTTATATTTATATGATTCAATCATTTGTTATTTATTCAATTATCAAACCTATTAATTTCCAAGAAACTATAGACTTAGAAAATCTAAATGAGTTTTCTAATACAACACTGCCTAAGAGAAACATAGACACACACGTCTCTCGAAATGACAGTGCCACGCAAGAGTGAGGGTGGGTGTGGATGTTAAGTTTACGACATCAACACCCACACCCCCAAAAGATAGTATGAATGTCTTTTCGATTCGATTGCTTAGCTACAATTATATTAAAAGTTGAAAATTTTTTGTTTTAATTTTATTGTGAAGAAAGTAATAAGTACGATTAATATTCATTTTCGACGTTTCGATGATCATTAACAAGAAACAGAATAATTTATTATGTTTTTGTCACAATTCAGTAAATGAATTAAATGTATATTAGAAGTGATGTTATATTCCTTTATTTAAAAAGAATTAATTATATTTTTATATAGATTAATACTATCATGTTTATGTTTGTTATATCTTGTATACTTTGATAATATTCATCATGAATCTTATATACTTTTATAATAATTCTAAATATATGTCAGATGATTTCTCTTATAAATAACGAAACATCTTCTATGTAGAGATGTAAGTCAATCGGCGGCGGCGGCTGAAAATTTTATAAAAAAAATTATTTTTTCCAAATGAAAAATATCTCTATTTCAATATATCAGACATAATGTTCTAAAAATTATAGGCAACAACTGTTACATCCTTTCACATTATATTGACAACACAAAAATGTAAAAATAAACATAAAAAAACGAAAATTTAATTTTCATTCAGGTAGATGTCGGCGGCTCGAAAGTATAAAAAAATTTCGCTTATCGGCGGCTCAAAAATATGCAGTTTTTTCCCCTGTCGGCGGCAGTGGCTGTGTTTTTTCCCCTGTCGGCGGCAGCGGCTGTGGTTTTTTCCCTTATCGGCAGCGGAGGCGGCTTAATCCATCGGCTTACACCTCTAGTTGTATGATTGTTGTTTGTTGAATCGTTCTTTCGCAACACGAATACTAAAATGAAATTATGATGCAATGACTATTTTTCTTTCCTATCGATTATAAATCAGCATATTTCTTTTTCCCACTTTGCAAAATCTTATAAATAATTCTGCCTAATGACAGTAGCATCTGAGGGTAAATTTGTTGATGTAGGCGTCGGTATGGTAAACATAACATCCACATGTACACACTCATCGACAACTGCATATATAAACTATGATTTCTTGTACATTAATTTATAAGAACGAATAAATGGAAGAAACTTGTTGTATTTTCTTTTTCTTTTCAGATTTCTTTTCTTTTTTATTTCTTATTTTTCAAAAATAAAATGAATTTAGAACCAGCTCCTATCGCAAAAAGTGAAATTGTTTTTGATGTATGTATTAAACAATTGAATAGAATTTTAGTAAATTTTTTTTTAAAATTAGGTTAAACCGTGGGATGATGAAACGAATATGAAAGAACTTGAAAAAAATGTTCGTTCAATTGAATTAGATGGACTTCTTTGGGGTACTTGTAAGTATTCAATTTCTATTGAAATATTTTAAATAAACTATTGTTATAGCTCGTCTCGAGCCACTTGCTTTCGGAATCAATGCATTACGAATTACTTGTGTCGTTGAAGATGATAAAGTAAATATTCTCTATTGATTAAGGTTCTTTTTTATCAATATTAATAAATAATATTTAGGTCGGTATGGATATCCTCGAAGAACGTATAACTGCATTTGAAGATCTTATTCAATCTGTTGACATCGTTGTATTTCAAAGAATTTAAATATTTTATTTTTCTATTTTTTTCTAATGAATATCTGCATTACATGATCAAATAAAATTAATTTTAAAAGAAAAAGAAAAACAGAACATCTTGAGGGTATGTGGATATGAAATACTGACAGTATTCCCACCCACACCTAATTATACTTTCACGAAATAAGTGATTTACCTCATATATTATTTTATAGACTCTAAGATTCTTATTGGGCATTGAAAAAATCGTACTTTTTTGATTATTCAAATATGATTGTGTAGGTGAAGAGAAATATATTATTTAGTAAAGTGTTCAAAAAGGAAATTATTTGAAGAAAAACTACTCATTTTCTATATAATATGTAATAATGTAATGATTCTACTTTGATACTACAAAAATAATTATAATTTCAACATGTGACAATAGAAATGCGAAATTAATTAAAACTCAAACAATAGGTTTTCTATTAATAAACAGAGATATATGATTCCCCCTTCATAATTTCAATGCATAAGAATGTTTGTAACGATTTAAAAAAATACTTGGACAGATAATCAAGAAGAAATAGATAAACATTATGCTTTTTATTTGTATTATACTTCAAGTAAATAGTTGAACAAAGGAAAGTAAAAATAATAGATTTGTCATTGTTGTGATATTAATTTTACGCCTTAAATTTGCATCCATCACTATTGTTATGGACAGGAAATGAAAAAATTTGAATATTCTTTTTCTTCTTCTTTCATTTCCTATAAGACACCTGTTCTATTCATATAATTAACATAAAACTATTTTCTTTTCTTACATTGTTAGTTATGTCTACTGTTAACAATAGTTCACATCAAAGTGACAATTCTTTCGCTAGTTCAGAAATTTCTCTACCTCGTCCAATTCGTTTTTGGCTTATGCTTCTATTTAATATTCCATCAATTATCTGTAGTTTTTGTCTAATTCTACATATTATTATTGATCGAATTCAACGATATGCATTACAAAATCATACGATCCTTCTTATACTAGTCTTTGGTTTACCTATTCAATTAATGGATATTAATTTTTATCTTGTTTTCTTTCAATATGGTTCAGTTCAACCATCGAAACCTTTTATTTGTCTTCTACGGTGGTTAGCTGATTATGGTTTTTATATAGGAGGTATACTTTTAATGGCTTGGTTAGCTATCGAACGACATATTTTAATATTTCATAATCGATTGGTTGCAAATCAAAGAGGACGCTTTTATTTCCATTATTTGCCATTGATTATTATACTCACATATATTTTTCTCTTTTACAGTATTGTTATTTTTTTTCTTCCTTGTCAAAATACGTATGATTACTTAGTACCAGTATGTGGTGCATCACCATGTTATCAAACATATGGAATTCTTGGTATGTGGGAGTTTATTGTGAATACAACTACACCAATTTTCTTAGAAGGTATTGGTAGTATTAGTCTTGTTGTACGTGTTCAATGGCAAAAACAACGACTAAATAAATCGACTCAATGGCGTAAACAACGACGAATGACTATTCAGTTATGTTTGATCTCGAGTCTGAATTTAATTTTAAATCTACCTATATATTTAATACCTTTAGCTCATCTTTGTGGTCTGCCACCAGAATATGGTATTCAAGCTGAACTTTATTTCTTTTTCTTGGGTTATTTCGTAATTTTTCTCTTTCCATTCGCATCTTTATGTCAGTTTCCAAAATTACGAAAAATAATCATAATGAAAATATTCAATATGATATCAAAACGATCGCGTCATACAGCTGTTGTTGCACCTATAATGAAAGACATGCAGATGGATAGACTAGCATAATCTAGTCTAATACATAGCGTTTTATTATTCTTCTATGAATCAACCAAATGGATTAGTTATCGATTTCATTTAAAAAATTTTTTTGTTTATTGGCATAAACAATCTAAGATGAAATAAAAAATTTCGTTATAAATTGAATATTTTTGAGATATATGTTCTCAGATATCAAGATTTGTCATCCTTATCTTTTTCTTTCTCTCCTTCTTTTTATTTTCCAATTTGAATTGATTTTTTTTTTTTTTTTTTTTTTTTTATTTGCGCATAAACTGACGACCAGAAGGTCCTTACAGTACATAAAATAATAGAAAGAATGAAAAGATAAAAACTAACAAGAACAACTAGAGAAAAAAAAAACATAAACACATGAACAAATGAAAAACGACAGAGATAACAACTAACTAGTATACAAAAAACGATTCAGGAAAAAGACGGAGGAGTTGAACCTCCTCCATATCATATGAAGGTAAAGAAGAAAGAGAAGAATTAGAAGAAATCCAATCCATACATCTTTCCAATACTGAAATGTTATCAACAAATCTTTTAGAAATATGTAAGCATCTAATAGAATACTCTCTCTCCACCCAAGACTGACGAAACCTATTCAATGAAGCATTTTCAAAAAGCATTTCACCATCTATAGAATCAGCTAGAGCACATAAATATTTATTCCAATAACGATAACATCTATCATCAAGTGATGACTCATCAAACAAATACGCAAAAAGAAAATCCTTCCAACCGAGACAAAATAAAACACGTTTAAGACAAGTGAAATAAAAATGACTCAGATGAGTACGTTGAAGATCTGTAAGAAGAGGAAACACAGGATATAACCATGTAAACAATGGTAAAATATAAGAAGAAAATAAAGCTCTTCTAAGAACCCTAGATGTTTTACCAAAAAATCGAAAAGAATTAATGAGACATAATCTTTGTCTAATTTTCAACATAGACATATGGATTAGTTTGCCCCATCCTAACCTAGGAGTAATATAATATCCAAGATATTTAAACTCTTTTGTCCACTTAATTGTATGACCACCAAGTATAATATCAAATTGAGGAGAAAAAGGAGCACGTGTACTCCATAAAGCTTCAGTTTTAGTATAGTTTATCGGTTGAAGTGTAAGAATACAATAGTATTCAAGTTGATCACAGAATAACTTGAGTCTTTTCTCAAGATCTATACATTGAATAGAAAACTTCAATCCTATCTGACCAGCAACAACAGCTGCCAAGTCGTCAGCAAAAAGATGTGACGACGACCACGAAAGAAAAGCAGGCATATCAGCATGATATGATATAAAAACAGTAGGAGTAAGGGAACTTCCCTGGGGACCACCTTTTTCTATCCCAAACCATCTAGATTTTACACTATTAATTTCAATAAATCCTCTACGATTCTCAAGCCAAGCTCTGATCCAATTAGTGAATGATGGTGGAATGCCCATTTTACGAAATTTCCCAACACAACCTTCATGCCATAACATATCAAACGCACTTTTGAAATCAACAAATAACGTAACTGTTGGAGAACTATTAGACATCAGACTATAGATATTATCAAAAAATAACAACAATCTTGTCTGCAACCTAAACCCTTCACGGAACCCCGATTGATTATTAGGAAGTAAACCTCTTCTATATAGAACATCACGAAATCTAGATAAAAACAATTTTTCACCAACTTTTTGAAAACAATCTAATAAAGATATAGGACGAGTGAATGCAGGTGAACAAATTGAATCTTTTTTAGCTAAAAGTAAAATTCTAGTATCTTTCCATGCAACAGGAAGAACAGCTGAAGAAAAAGAAAGATTATAAAGATGAAGAAGAAATGACCAATGCGATGAATGTAAGAAATTGAACATATAATTACTCAAACCATGTGCATCTAAAGATTTTTTTTTTTTTAAACTATCAACCTCCTGTAATAATTCATCTAAAGATACTTCAGGAATAGGATCATCTTTATTATCAAAATCTAGCAATGGTGCATCAACATAAGGATGTGGTCTAACTATATTATCAGATCTTCTGAAAAAATCTTCATAAAAATCAGCAGCTATATCACACATTCCTATAGAATCATTCACAATTGCACCTGAAGAAACAATAAAACCATTAAGAGAGGACGAAGTTGGTTTAATAAAACGTTTAGCTTTTGACCAAAAAGAGACAGATATAGGAGATCTTGTATGTCTTAGTTGCAGAGCATAAGACAGTTGAGAGGATAAAAAGAATTTAAGTTCATTTTTAATAATTTTCCGTAAGTAACATACTTCTCGTTTTAAATCTAAGCTTTTAGTTCTCTTCTGACGAAAAGAAAGAGCTCGTACATAAGACATAGAGCAACGTATATAAGGTGGAATAGCAATTCTATATTTGCTCAACGGAAAAATTACTGTACAACGGGCTGTAAGAAGACTAAGAAATTGAATATAATCATTATAGGAAACATCAACATTTTCAAAACACCAACACTTTTCCCAAAATTGAAATGTATATTCTGTAAATAAACTATAAACTTTCCAATGAATTGATTTACCGTTAACCTGTTTCTTACATTTCATAGGTAGAACTGAAATTACTGGACTATGGTCACTAGTAGTTTTCATTTTATGCGTTTGAATATCAATTCCATTAATATTTGAAAAAGCATAATCAATCTTTCTATCAGATCTAAGAGAAGTAGGATCATCAGGTACAAAAGGAGATAAAAACAATGAGTCAGCCCAATCCAACAAATTGTCAGCTATAACACCATCTTGCTCTAAATCTACATTGAAATCACCATATACAACACTTTTATCATTAACAAAAGGAGATAGATCCTCCCAACTCCATGAACGACTATCAGGCGCATATACACCTATTATTCTAAGATCTTCCTCTAACTCAACATCAATGACACATACATTAGGTAACTTACATTCTACTCTTTTTACCATAATTCCATTCCGAACCAAAATCAAAATACCACCATTACTGTTTTCACCAGATTGTTGAAACATTTTAAAGTCACAAAACATTTGTCTATAATCATATAAATCAATGCATCCAGTTTCTAAAAGTACGATAACATCAGTATTAAAAGATGAAATAAGAAGCAAAACTTCTTGATAACGTATATCTAAACCACGCACATTGAACATAAGAATATTTAAAGGAGAAAAAATCGAAGATGAATCAACACACACGTATTTTTTCCAAGTCGAAAAACATGAAGATAAAAGAGAAGAACTTTCCCACTCTGAGAGAATCAAACAAAACATATTAAAATCAAAATGAGAGAGATTCAACTCAGCTCTACGTAAAAACAAATCTCTTTTATTACAATTTAAAAATGAGGAACAACTAAAAAAAGGTAAAGCAATAGGTGAAAGATTCATTATATGAAGCTTTTACCATCCATCGCATCGGACATTTGATTACGAAAACGATCAATTTTACTTTTTAAATCAGGATCAACAGTTTTACCACCTCTTCCCACATTCTTGGTATCAATAAATTTTAGAACATCATCTAACATAGGAAATAAAAATTGTTTAAAAATACCATCATTTGATTTCATCAATTTGTCCAAATCATTCACCTTTTCATTCAATACCATTACATCTTGATCCATTTTATTATTAATAGATTTAAGATCAGCAATTTCAATATTAATTCTTTTATCATTTTCATTTTTTTCAATCATAAATTGTTGAAAACCTTGATTTGTAACACACAATTTACTTAAAGTTTCATTAACTTGAGAGAGACCTGATATAAGAGTATTTAATTTTAAATCCATTGGATTACTGGATGGTGCCCACGGAGCTGCTGTACGAGGAAAATCATTATTAATATGTTGAGACGTGTTATTATTAGCTATACTAGCTGCAATAGACGAAGAATATGAAGTAACATTATTATTGATGTTCATCAATTTTTTTGTAAGATCAGCACGAAAGGTTTTAACAACAGGGCATTTCATAGAGTTAGATAGATGATCACCATTGCAATGTTTACATTTAATAATAGATGAACAATGATGCATTTTTAAATCTTTAAAAGATTGACCACAGGATTTACAAGTTTCATCTTGTTCAGTACATTGACGACGAAAATGTCCTATTGAACAACATTTTGAACATATTAAAACATTCACAGGAGCAATATATTCTTCAATTTCATAACAACTATAATTAACATATACCAGTTTATTATTTAATAAATCATCTCTTGCTTTAGCACAAGTCAATTCTAATTTCACCATTTTAATATCATTACTAAATTTATTTTTCATACGAATAACATTCTGAATACTAGGATATAAATTTTTAAGATCCAAAGAAAATTCATCAAAATCTAAATGAATATCAACATTTTTAATAATCAAAGACAATTGTGGAGGAATAGAAGGAACAGAAGGGAAAATAAACTGTTCACCACAAATCATCAATGGCCATTTCGAATGATCTAATAAAGCAGCAAAAGAGGTTGAATCTTTAACATATAATAAAACATCCATTTCATTGTTATTGCATTTGATGGTGGACCTTCGACAACTAATAATTTCAATATTAAGATTATGATCAGATTTGTAATGCTTGACCACCTCTGCTTTAAAATAAGTAATTGAAACATTAGTAGATTTAAATCGAACTATGTGTGGTGGAAAAGGAAAACGTGTCAACGCATAACGAGCTGAAGCTGTTGTTAATAATTGTTGCTGTTGATTATGACCTGTTGTAAAATTATTTGAAATTACTGATGAAGTAGTAGTAACATGATTATTAACATTTAAATTCATATTCACATTATCATTAACTGTATCATTACCATTATGATAATGTAATAATTGAGGACGAATAGTACTATCACTTTGATTATTTATCTGTTTTGATTTTTTATAAGATACATCTTGAAAATCACCATCATTAGAAGCATTAGAACGACATCTACGTGATGGACGTGTTGGAGAAATAACTAATTGCACTTCCGTAGTTCCACTAGTAGAAGCATGTTGATGACTAATCGAACTTGAGTTCAAAAGAACATTTTCACTTTCGACATTAATAGAATGTTGACATTGACATTTTTGTTGATTAAAACCAGTTGATAATGGTACATTAATTGATTTACCAGTAACATCACCATTTTTCCGTATATCAGTCATCAACTTGGAATTAATATTGTAATTATCCATAATATAATTATGAACTTTAAGTACGAAAATATATCACGCAGTGTAAGCGAGATTATATAACGTAGAGAATAGAAAGGAAAGACAAAATACGACTTAACAGTACGTGTTAAGAAGCGAGAGTGAATTTGAATTGATTTTCATTGATTATCAATCATTTATTTTACTACAAACTTATTAAAATAAATTGTCATCAAGGAAATTATTCATAGATGTCGACATTTATAATACAGAATAATGAAGAATTTTCAAGTAAACTCAATAAAATATTGTTTTAAAGAAAAGATTTTCATTTAGACATCGATTAAAAACTTTTGAACTCGATAATTTTGTCAATCACTACCATAAAGATCTCCATCAACATCGAATGATAAACCAGTAGGACCATTGAATTGATTTGATTCCTGTCCACTTCTATTTCCACCAACAACAATTTCACCTTGTACATTTCCTTCACACCAACGCATTACTCGATTATTCATCGAGTCTGCCACGTAGATTTGATCCAAACGATCAACAATCACTCCTATAGGTGAAAACAATTGTTCGAGGCTATTTCCTTGACCATTTCCAACAGCAACTATTCTTCCATTTTGATCTCCTTCTTTCCATTGTCTCACTTCATTCTTTTCAGTATCAGAAACATAAACAAATCCATTTTTATCCATTGTCAGACCCTCACAATCGATGTCAGAAATAAGAATTTGTTGTTTTCTTTCTTTTTGATAAAACCATCGTATTACGCGTTTGTTAGTTTGATCACAAATAATCAAAGAATTATTTTGTTTGTCAAAAATTACATTCATTGGATTCTTCAACCAATCATTTCCATTTCCATCTGCAATAACTTGACCATTCTTCGAATCATATTTCCATTTAACAATATAAATCGTTTTTTCATCATCAATAAAGATGCCTTGTGGGGCAAAGAGCTGATTCAGTTCATTTCCAAAAAAACGATAAAAATCAATAACTATTTACCTGAAAACAATGAAAACAACATAGCAGTATACCTTGGTTATAGACATAGTTAACTCTAAACTCACAGAGTATTATTGAAAAATATGTGCTTTTATTTCTAAAATACAGATATCTTAAGTCCATTTAATTACATATCAATAATTGGAAATTTGATATTCTCTCCATTGTGTCTAATCTTTCCGATTCTATTCCGCGAAAAATACAATAAAAATGAACTTAACAAACGAATAAATATCAATCTTTCTGTTTCTATGAATCGAAGAAGAAATTTCAATAATAAAATGGTGTTCAAAGTTGACCATTTTTACATATAGCGGGTGTGGGTATGAGGATAAATGTGAGATTTCATCCAGTTTTTGATTTTATCAATAATGACTCGCTTACTTTGTTTACATAAGTAAGTATGTGTTGATTTCTCTTCGATGACTTATAGAATAAGTAAAAAAAAATAAAATAACTGCAAACTTGACTATATGAAAACTAGTTAAAATATTAGGCGGATTATACAAGCATATTCAAAGCTATATATTTCTATAAAGCCGGTAAGCATTATAAAAAAAAACTTTTGTATAGAGGTTATGAATGTGAGTAGGATAGATATGGCACATCCACATCATAAAGTATTTGATGTATATACATATATTCTTTTCACACGAGACTGTGAGTGTTGTTTTAAATTCTTTCTTCTCCAATATCCTTAATCTTTATTAATGCAGTTGAGAATTTGAGTTTTCAAGGCGGTGGCCGGATTCATCCTTTGATTTTTCTAAGCATATTAGCCGTGGTTCAGCTGTTTGTCGAGTCCAAAGATATTTGCATGGATAGTTAGGGAGGTATATATGTCGTCTTAGTTCATGTGATATGCAATCGATTTCAATATCGTCAATATCATTTGGTTGAAATTGATTCGATGGTAGACATTCGACTGCAGGCCATCTTTCAACTTCCAGATTAATATAAATAGAACTCATATTAGCACTTTGGGATGATAGTGTATGTTGAGCTCGATCACGATATTTATGACATATAGCTAACATTCGTCGTATAATTGGCAAAACGAAAAGTTTAGCTAAGAGAAATGAAAAGCCAAATAATTCAATAACCAATGAAGTGAATAACAACGCTTGAAAGACAGTTTGCCGTGTTCGTACGATGGGTTCTTGAATATTTTTAATATAGAACGAACGTTCGTCAAACGTAATTTGAATAGTAGTCAATGCAAATGTATAGCGTAAATAATTGCCGAACTCAGTATAGAATGCCTCATTAAATAATGATGCACCATGAACCGATGATAGCCACAAACCAGAATAAGTGATCGGACGGTTTTTTTCCATACTTTTTGTTATATTGATAATTTTCGTCATTATAAATGGAATTGTAGATGCATGACCCAATGTTTGATTCGGTGCTGAAAACAATTGACAGAAATCTAATGCGTGTAACATAGTGTTCATTATTGTTTGGCTCTCACCACGAAGACATATACGAACAGCACTCGCCCAATGAGGACCTGTCATATTGAGTTGTACAGACGAGTAATGATCGGGTAGAGTGAAAGTTACTGACGTTACAGCATTCCATTTCGAACGTTCACATGACAATATTAAGTTAGCATATTGTGTTCCAATTAAATTTTCTTGGACACTAATACTGTCACAAGTAAAGCCAGTATTGATGAATTCAACTGTTATGTTAAAAATTTGATTATCGAGAAGATTAAACATTCGCTGAGCATCGATCGATTGTGGTATTGCAAGTAGATCGAGACCTGTGGCGAATTTTGCATTAATCAATGTTGAATCGCAAGCAAAATTTGCTGGCTCAGAAACTTCTTCAATTGGATAACGCTTGAGAAACGATGCAGAAAACCAATAGGCAAACGAAACGAGAACAATAATAGAGATAGTAGCTAATCCACCAACCCAACGTTGTCCTTCACGAATGAGATCTGTATGCATAAAAATTGTTTTTACCCGTGTTCGATAACGCTTATACTGTTGCCATTTGCCTAGCTTTATTACTGCCATCATTATCCAGACAGAAAAAGCAAAAGCACCTGCAATTAATGTCCAAAAAAAAGGCGAAATAATCATACATGAAAAGTTCGAGTCTGTTTCAAACATATTCTCCAAAAGAATATCATCGAAATTAGTTGTGTCAGCTGATACTGGATAAGCCGTTACTTGACTATAGGAAGTCATCGTGTTCAAGTCAAATTCGACGAGTGCTGCAAGAGGACAGTACGAGTTCGAATTATTTCGAGAACAAGAAATACATGAAGTCCCATCAGAACGTGCTATACCTGGATTTCGAGTTCCAGGCAAACAGATTGTACATGGACCTAGACCGAATTCATGGCTGAAAGTACCACCAATACAAGGCATAGGTGAATAATAGAATACGAATGCTGTAGCTGACGGTTCGACCCACATTGAAGCATAATTGATAGGAGATGCGGGAACAATTATAACAAGGTTATAATCAGTTAACAGAGCTAAATTGCCATTACTAGTAATGACCAAACGAACAAAATGTGGTTGAAATAATTGATTGCCGATTGTTTGTTGATTATTCGGAAATGTATAGAGTGGAGAAGTGGATGACACAGAATTTTTATCATAGAAAAATATCTGTGATTGCGACCACGATGAGTACAAACTATGATAAGCTACGACGGCTATAGTTTGTTCGTCTACCCATCCTACTAAACGTCCGAATGAAGTCATGCTCGACGAAGTCACAGTGTATACATGTATTTTAGTCAATGAAGTTTGATTCTTTTTCAGTATTACAATTGTATTAAGACGATGAATGCCGACGAGTACGTTTTCATCTCGAATAGCTACTGATACTTCATAGAGTTCGTTGTACGAGAGAAGATTTGATGGTACTAAATACGTACTTTCAACAATAAGCGTTTCACACGAGTAATTTATTAATGAAATTAGATCAATAAGACATTCCATAATGGCATAATTCTTTTTCTCGCTACGATTAAAACCATATCCGACCACTACCGCCCAGTGATCACTTAAACTGAATGCATGAGGAAGAAAGATGATCGATGGCCAGAGTGTTTCTAATGTTAGATTCTGAACAATTTGATTAGTGGCGATCTCGAGTTTGAATGCCATAGTGCTAGTAAAACCATAGACAAAAGTGGCACGAGAATCGATACCGATCAGAAAATAATTTTGAGGTTTATCTGCGCTGTGTAAAACTGTCATTTGATGCTGTGCGTTACATGTCGATCGTGAAACAGTAACAAGACAAATGAATAGTGTCGATTTTGTTGTAATTTCACCTGCAAAAGCGAACATAAACATCTCACGATGAGTGCCATTATTAGCTGCACCGATGACACCAATACTATGAACAAAATAATCAGTTGACACGTATCCTACATTGCAATGTTTGCGTACATCTTTTGTCGAACTGTTGAACGGATTAATTACAACGCCAAAATTCAAGAAGGCATTGGACGCTGAGACAGATAGTTCGTCGTTGGTAGATAATTTAATACCTGTTGCAGCATTGTTACGATCGTATTCGCAGTTCGAACGACGCAAAACGAGTCCAAAAAGTAGTACGAAAGAGATCCACATACGATTAACAGTCAAAATGTCACTATCTAAATAGAACACAATTTCAAATTGAGAAATCAAATCTTTGATATATTTATTTCTATGAACAATTTTTTCGCATAACAGTTTCCAATATATGCATTAAATTCTGCAAAATCCAGTCATCTTATTCAGTACAGACGAATTTCACTAATAATTGGTAAACTCATAATTCATATAAACGAAAGAAACATACTGAATTGTAGAAACAATAAACTATCTTGCGGAGTTTTTCAATGAGAAAAAATAGATGGTATACGGAACTTCAATATATAAATACTCACAAATAATAGTATTGAACAAAAAAAGAAAACAAGTGATAATTAACCATACCCATATAGTAGAAATTAGTTAATGAAACATTTTATCGTTGAGATGTGTTATTAGAGTTCTGCATTGTTTCATATGTAATTCTTAGTATACATCAATGTTTATGTCGTTATCATACATATAGCATATTTGTTAGTTCTCAAACAATTTTTTTTCCGTTCTGTTGTTTTGCGTCAGTCATAAATAGGTCATGTGTAGGCTATCTTTACAATTGTATATATACAATGTCCTTTGTTAAAAACATTCAATTAATGAGTCAATCAAGATAAGTAATAGAACATCTCGTTAGATTGATGTCATTGTTTATAGAAAGAAAAAAAAATTGTTTCTGGTTTCTGTCAATGTATGTCTATTGTATGATAAAGATTATTTCTGTAGATGATTATTTTTTTTTACATTCTTTCTCGTTCTCCACGTACACAATGTATTCTCATTAAGCTTTACCAGTACCCATGACTTGTGTTTAAATATAATATATGTAAATCTGCTTATTAGTTTCATTCTTCTACACGCATATAAACTCATTATCATCGTATTTATATTTGACTACTTTCATTGTAATAAAAAAAAATAACATCACATTTAAATCTTGTTACAACGTAGACGATCTTAATAAATAAATATACTGGATCAAAAAGTTATTTGTTTACTTTCTATACTATAAACTAGAAAATCGAATTATATTTTCAAATCATAATGAATTATACAAATATATCAAATAGTATACGAAACTAAATAGTTTTAATTTTTAATTTTATTTTATATTAACTGCGATCCTAACAGTATGACGAATTAAAAGAAAAAAAATATCAGGAAAGAGTAAATACTTTTAATTTAAATTTATACAATGAATTGCAATTACAGTTAAGAGTATATAGATGTTCAAAGAAGATTGTTATTTAGTTATTGAATTTCATCTTTCTTTATGAAGTAGTAGATCATTTTATCTTATTTTAAGAGTCTTATTAGATGTTGATTATATTAATATAATTTATTATTTCTGCGACCAACTTGATTTTTTTTATCACCAGATAATTGTAAATCACCAAAAATATTTTATACATTAATACAAGTTGATAATTCTCCACCGTGTCATTATTTTCTTATTTGTTTATATAAAAGATATTAAAGATAGATTCATTAAATCCTCTAACGATATTTTTATATTGTGCAAGCCAGACAAAAATTTGTGCACATATATCAGTGTTGGTGGTAGTTAAAATCGAATCTTTATGGGGGGTAGTATTTTGATGACACCATGGGTCAGTATGATTTCGATAGTGTAATTTATCAGAAAACATTTTTAGTCTTCTTAACTCTAGTTTTGCGCGAGCTATTTGAATTTATTAGAATTTCCGATGAACAACTTTGAATGACATGCATCGTCATAAATTAAGATTTTAGGAAAATTCTCTATATTTTGATACATACACAGAAGAAAGCTATAGACTTGTGTGATAAATTCACACCTAAACAATTATTAAACAAAATACTCTAAAATAATAAAAAAAATCGGAATTTTTATTAATCTGCAGATTATAATAATCTAAAATAAAAGAAAAAAATATATATTAAAAAATGGGTCAGTGAGCGATGAGCACATGAGTGTTTAAGTCCATAATATCGATGAAAACAAAGAAAGTCAAGGCAAATATGAATCGACATGGATACAGGAATCTATCAATGTCATTTTTTCCGGGCCAGCGTCTCACCCTCACTCAGATGCTTGTGTGCTTAAGTATCCTTGTGCTCGTCGTTCCGGTTTTCCTACATCTTTAGTTAATCACTGCTGTCAACCATAACTCTGTTAGTATTCGAGAGCAGCGTCAAAGCGAGATGCTGTATATATGCTGCAGGAGAAGTTATGCATACGGTAGCCGATTACAAGTATTCACCACCGTACACGATGTTATACGACCGAGTATGCTCGACTCGCATAAATTATTTATTCCACTTCAAGTACAAATTTTCTTTTTGTTTTATATATGTATTCAGATTAAGAACTTTTCTTCGCAGAAGCTTTCCATGGATTAATTTCTAGGATATAAATTAATGCATCTCAAAATCATTATTTAGAAATGTCTTTACTTGACATATATCTTCTTCTCAAAAATTTGCTGTCATTTCTGAATCTCTAAGCTTTTGGTTATAAAAAAAGAAATATTACAATTTTTTTCTATTTTATTTCTTTTTTAATCTATTGAAAAGCGTAATATATTTCATACTATCTTCTTTACACAATATAAAAATTCTATTTTCGCTGTTATTTATCATTATTTGGCAGAGAAGATGTCATCATCGAATATATCAAGTCTTCAGTTATCAGCGAACGAGTTAAATTATATCTCCATGATGTTTAATCGATGTTACTGTTGTTTAGTTATACCTATAGGTATTGTAGGTCATTTAATGAGTATATATGTTTTTACTCGTCCCACATTGCGATCAAATTCTTGTACTATGTACTTTTTGGCAGCTACTTTTATTGGACTAATCAATACATGTTATATTTTACCGATAAGAATGATTCAATCTGGTTTTGTCAATACAGATCCCGGTGCATATTCCGTAATGTTTTGCAAAATAGTATGGTTTTCATTATATCCAATAAGGTATATACAGTTTAATAAAATATACTGAATTAGATGTTTTCTTTATACAATAGTTTTTGAAAGTATATTTTTTTCTTTTTATAGAGGATTGTCTTCTTGGTTAATTGTTCTGGCTTGTGGTGATAGGTATTTGTCTAGCTCAACATCAGCCACGAAGAGAGCATGGAGTACTGTACGGGTGGCCAATCGCATCATACCATTGACGATTCTTACTGGTTTTATTATATACATACATGTGCCTATCTTTTTCGAGATCAGTATTATACCGGCAACTCAGCAACCCATTTGTTATGCACCAGGGCCTCCAGGTACTTATCGTTTAGTTTTATCTCTATTCAATTTGATCTATTTTGGTTTATCTCCATCATTGTCTATGTTTCTCCTTGGCATGTTAACATTACGAAATATTGAACGATCTAAACGACTTCTTGTGGCACCATTAAATAATTTGTCAAATCAACATAATCAAAATAATAAACAAATCAATAGACATATGCTTCGAATGTTATTTCTTCAAGTATTAATGTATTGTGTGACAGGATTAGCATACTCTGTTGGCGCAATTTATACAGCGATACGTACTAGTCAACCAAGCAATGTCTTTCAAGTAGCTCAATATAATATGATTACAGTAGTACTTGGTTTACTTTCAAATAATGGTCCCTGCTTAAGTTTTTATTTATTTACACTTTCAAGTGGTTTATTTAGAAAAGAGCTGAAAAAGCTATTTACCAAATTTAATCCAACTGCTAACGATCCACAACAAATTCAAACTCGACTACATCAGACAGGTTACATCGGAATGACAACTAGACATCAATAATGCTTCATCATATAGTTTTCTTTTACTTATGAAATATATTTTCTGCCAGTTCACACTTGATGATATTTTATTTGTCAGATCTTATTTAAGAGAGGATGTGAGTGTCGATGTATCTGCGAATATTCTTCTGATTTGGCATCAACACCCACATTCCTTTTTTGTTAACATAAGCGAGATAAATCATATATTTCATTTTATATATCAATTACAGACACCGTTTCTTACATTTACGGAGTGTATTCGCTGCGCCTATATCCTTATTTATTTTCGAAATCTATGTATTCTAATTCTATCCATGTATTTCAACACTAATACTACAAAAAAAAGATTGAAACTTTGTTAAATTAATCATTATATTATAAATCTTTGACTTTTCTATATTAAGAAAAAATATCAATAATAATTTTTTTTTATTTATTTATGGTACATTGTTTATCTCTGTTAGTTTTATATTGCAAAAACGAATTTACAATCAATGAAAGCAAAACTTTGATTGTTAGTAAAGAAAAAATAGAAATTTCAATTAATACAGTAGTTAATATGAATATCATTTCTTACGATTTTTTTTATAATTACAATTCGTTTCTCAATACATATTTTTTTCTGTTCTGTAATTATACGAAACAAGAAAGTGCTTCTACTTTCATCAAAATGTAAATTACAACCGAACTATTTTTATCTAGTTGTAAAAAAACAATTTTTCATGCCGTTGTCATCATCATTTCTAGCAGAAAGAGAATCTAGACGTGATACTCCTTGAGCTAAACTACTAATTAGGTCGGCATGTTTGTTTTTGGTATACTCGCACTTCTGGTTGGAATCAATGAATATTGTCAATCAAATACATATATCGAATGTAATTATCAAATTCAATTAACTAAAGTCCTAGGTCCCTCGAAAAAAGGTCGATGGAAATTAGCGTGGAATATTACCATTTTAGATGAGAGAAATGATCGAATAGAATCGAGTTCTACATACTTTCTAAAATAGTAGACTAGAAGTGTTGCACAAGAAAAAAGTAAGAATATTTTTCTTATTTTAAGTAATTTTCTTTTCTTTTTTTAAATTAGTTAAATCAAATTTATTGATGTTATCGATATCATAATTATCCTTCCACTGGAACATGGTCTTGATATTGTAATAAACCTACGAAATTAAAAGCATATAGTTTTCTTTTTGCTTGTGCTGTCTTTTTCACTTTGGGAAGTGTACTTTTTGCACTTAGAAAATATTATCCACGTTAATAAAGACGAAATGTTAACTCTTGATCGATTAGTTAACAAGATTGCTTCTTCCATTGAAGTTTGGCGTGAAATTCTAGTAGAAAATGAAATTATTTTATCGAAAAAAATATTATCACTCATATTTGACATTAAATGAAGTCGATATACTTGACTATATAACTTAAGTATTACTGAATCATTTATTTTTGAAAAATCTTTATTCTTATTCTGCGCTTTTGGAAAATTATTTATATTGACGTATTTATGCATATACAAAGTCGTTGAATTTAAGAGTGTGACTATTTTGTGTTACTTGAAAGTGATTCATTGTAAATATTATTGAATAATTTGATATTAATATAAAAGTATAATTAATTTTCGTAAAGATTGATTGCGTGTCTTAATAAAAAGAAACGACAGAAATGATTTAAATCAATTTATGAGACATATGTATGATATTTGAAATTGAGGGATGGGTGTGGTCTATTCATATACCTACACCAACACTCTTGAAAATGCTCTGTGATAAAGCAAATATTTGAAAACAATGTAAAAAGAATGTAGTGATTCTGATTAAGAATACACTAGCAATGCTTTTAATTACTATGTTGTTCTGTATCAAGAGTAAACAATAAAACTATCAAGAAATGATTCTTACTTTGTCGATCCTTTGTTGATATTTGCTATGAAACGATATAATGTCAGTAAATATGTTTTTGTGTAATTTTACTTTGTGTGATCAAACATATTGATGATATTAATATCGAAAATAGGTCAAAATTCGATCACTCTCAATGTGAAGCATATTGAAATTTCAATTTTCGTATGAAAATAATGTAATTTGAAATAGACGATTGCTATCGGCTTCCGAAGATACTCTTATTTTTTTTCCTAATCAAATAAATATGTAAATAGAATTTCTTTAACAGTATGATTTCATTCATTTGGTAGCTGACAAAAGAAAAGTTGGTAGCATCACTAAAATTGAATCTACTGGCCAAGTGATCTTAATAAACATGAGAGATAAAAGTATGTCGTTCACACGCATCTCTGTGAATTCTTATCGGCCTCGTGTTACCCACGTACGTCCAAGTGACATTCCATCGACTTTTAAGAGCAGCAACAACAGTAATCCTGCTTTTGCATCGGTAAGTTTAATTATCTGTTTGAAGAAAATTACTTTATCTAAGTTTATATCTTATTCTCTAGCCAAGGAGCACACAAATGAAACCTATACAACGTAATAGATATGGAGACACCGAAGATCCATGGAAGGGAACTATGAGAAACTCAAATGTCAAAAAAACATTCCAGATGTAAGTAGGTCAAAATATTGAATCATAGCTTTTGAAGATGTGCCATGGTAAAAAATGTAATCTTATTATATTTAATTCTCTTTTTTTCTGAGTGTTCTTTATTCCGTAATATAATATTGAACATTTGTATGATCATACCAAAGTAAAAGTTTACTGAAAGTAAATTCGAATATTTGCTACGATTAAGAACACTTGTTCTGTTTTGGTCTACTAATGAGAGCGACAATTAGTCAATTGAATGTGATCTCATCAACTGAGTAAATATACTTCATTCATTTTTATTATGATCTTCAATTGTAGGAAATGTTCTTACGGTCAACTTGCGTGTTGCTTTTGCTTGGCCATCACTCTTGCTCTTTTAGTGAGTACAGTCATTGGTACTGTACTTGCTATTGTCTTACGTAAGTATTTTGTCTCTTTTTTTATCATTTTTATTAATCTCTATACAATGACAATATGATCATTAGCACATACAACCACCCTATCAACAACAGCCACGACTGCTACAACAACAACAGCAACAAGTAAGTAAAATTATTCTAACGATGAAAACAATTCTGTAAGATAACTAGTTTCGAATCAAACAATAGGATGACATAGATATGCATATATTTCATCTAATAGAAACTTTTCTTGGTTTCGACTGTTGCTCCGTTTTAATTACTTACATATAATAAATTAAAGAATCTAGTGGGCGATCAGATTTGATGCTCTGTCTAACTAGAACAAGCGCAGGTCTTTATTTTCAAGTTTATTGTAGGCTGCGCCCAATAAGCCCGTAATCGATCTAAGATTTATCTAATAGATGCGATTTTAATTAAAAAGTAAATTTTAAGCTTGAGCGCGCCACAACTAAATCAGCCATTCGACCAAGCCCAAGAAGGAAAAAGCGGATTCTGGATTCCTTTATGCCAACGGATCTTGATATGAGTTCATTCGATTACACCAAAATACATTGAAAGGTGCTTGTGTTCAGAAAAAAAATCTTTTAACTTTAATGAAATCTATTGTAATCTTCATGGTGAGTGCGAGTGTGCGGCTGCAAGTAGGGGTGTAATTATAGAATATAGAAGAAGCGCACACACCCACACCCACCCTTCTGTTAAACTACTCATCTAGTCCTTGACAAAAGATTAAGAATCACGACATCTCATAAAGCTTTTCCTCTTAATACTATTTAACACACAATAATTTTTCTAATAATAGCTTCAACAACGACAACAAGTGTCACTACCAGCACCACTTCAACCTCGTCAACAAGTAAGTCAAAACATATTCTCACGGTAGTTTTGAGTTTGAGATGCAGTTAACATTTGATAAGTTTCACAATTTGATAGGCATGGAGTCTTTTGAAAGAATAGCGTTCCTTTTGATTGTATGAAAACTGTCTTAGATGATAGAATACAAAGATTTAATGTAACGTTGTTGAAAAATAAAAGTCAAATCGCGAGATGAAATCTCTTAGATTAAATTCAATTTATTAAATATACACTCTTACAAAATTATGCCTTTTTCGGTAGGTTCAACATCAACATCAACCACAACGTCATCCAGTAAGCAATAAGATTTGAAAACATGTTGACAACTAAAATATGTACTAATCTAGCTTCAACCTCGACAACAAGTACTTCGACCTCCAGTTCGACCTCATCAACAAGTGCCACAACCAGCACGACCTCGTCAACAAGTACTTCAACAACAAGTATGGATGCAAACATATTTTGAATATATGATTGAAGATCTGAGCATCGATCGTGATCGAACTTGGCGGAATTTAATGATTTTGCTGAGAGTTGTCAGAGT